TCTTAGAGCAATTCTATTTAGGCCTGTAAGTTGGATTGCCTGTCAAATTCATAAACCTCAGAAAAACAATTCACTGTCCATGCAGTTTACGTTTCCCATTCGAAATCCGTTCACATTTTGTTACATTTTTAAGAAATTTCGTTTAAGTTTTATTGTATTTTTAGTTTCATATTATTTGTTATCTTTTTATGCTATATAGCCAATTGTCAATAAATAAATACTATTAAGTAACTATTACGCGTTTTTTGAAAATGTTAGTTTGAGTTTCCAATCTTTAAAGTATTGTTGATAAATTATTGGCATGAATGTTATAGCAATTTTAATAATTTTATTGACCGAAAATCGTAAAATAGCTTTCAAATAGTGCCAAATTTGACTATAATGCAATCAATGAAAATGTACGAATACAAGATACGTTCCAATTATGTTATCAAATCACAAACTCTCCTTAATAATTTCAATGATTATGACTAAAGATGACATGTAATTTTGTCGTACGACAAATTGTAAAGTATGAATGAAAAGTTGCCGATATTACAAAAGAACGTAATAAGTATAATTAGTAAAAAAAATATAATTATTCTCATTTTGAATACAATCGGTCAATAATACGTGAACGCTCCCAGGATAGTACATCGTGTCTATTTCTTTAATATGATTTAGTATGTAGTTTCATCTCGCTCTTGTTAGATGCCTGCCAGCGACAATAATTCACGTTTAAAAAGTAAAATTCATCATCCTGTCATGCCATTCCCGTTCAACTTTATGTAGGTTAATTACAGCAATCCAGTTTTAGCACGCCAAGTGAATTGCATGGAATTTGGCTGGCTGGTTATAAGCTCATAGTAGGCCCCCTGGACTCTTTTATTTTTAATTTTAGTGCAACGACGTGCTCTTTAGCTCCGATATTTATCGAGCTAACAGATTCTGTAACTGTTGATATATTTTGGTACCTGCCTAGTAAATTATAATGAAATGAAATAAATAATAATAAATTTTTATTGTTTATTATTATAATAAATCGTCGGATTTTTTTCCATATGAACGAGAATCATCGCTTGAATCCACATTAACATTAATTTATTCATTTTTGAGTACACAAATTGTCAAATGCATCGTCACGATCCCAATCAGACAATATCTTCTTTTTTAAAACCGCTCACATTCACGATTTAAACTTCTTCATAAATAAAATCGATTGTTATAAAAAAATCGAATCGGTAACGCATTAGGACATCACTAATTGATTAGAATTCGAGCCGTCAAAAGTTAATTATAAATGGTTGGGATTCGCTCTGAACCTTTTGGAGGGAAAAGTGTCGTTTTTATTTTGACTTTCAATTATTTTGTGAAATCTAGTTTAAAGTGGAATAGGATAGTGCTATTGTGCCTTAATCGAAGATTAAAACGCGAAATTATACGAATTTCGAACTAAAACACCCGTATCGGCCCGTTCTAAGGAATCCCGAGTCAATCCAAGCACGCCGCCTCAAATTGCCTATCCGCCGCCTCAAATTGCCTATCCGCCGCCTCAAATTGCCTATCCTCTTTGTGGCGGCCATATTTACAGAAATATAATTCAACTTCATGTACCAAAAAAAGAATAATGCACCAAGACTTGGCTGTATGGTGTAAAACTTTTGCCTTTTCCTTTATGGAAAGAAGAAAAAAAATGAATTATAAATGGTTGGACGGAGTATAAGTTCAGTCTAAATTATCTATGATATTTGGTTTAAAAATCAAGCAAAACATCGTAATGCAGTCTGCAGCAATCGTAGCATTTTGAAAACATGTTAATACCCTACTGTTTACGGGGTTATTGTGGTACACAACCAATCACATCAGTTACCTGTACCAGGCGTTACTCAGAACACTCACACCAGGCCCAATACTCTCGTTCTCGATAAACAATTACTGTCAAATAAGTAATACCTACTCGACGAAATTAAAAAACGCATGATGCGAATGAAGTTTCATACTTGTCATTGTATTTTAACTTGATCGAGTATTAAATATAATAGTATTTAATAGTGTTATCACTTAAATTTGTATTGAATTGATGTTCAATTATTTTTTGTGAAATTACTCCACTAGTTTGTTATAAACGACGTCTCTTAGCTAACTGTGCCGAACGCTATACCAACTAAGCCACTGAACGAACCAGCGGACCTCACGAATTTTTCTAAGTGCTTGTTGTCGGATTTTTGCATTTGTTTTTCAACAACTTTTTAGCCGTAGCGCCATCTATGAAAAATCTATTAAATACGAGTATAACTTTAGGGACCATTTGGACATCGAAAGGGAAAGAAGGGTGCTGGCAGTTAGGTGCAACATGTTGGCCCGACGATTTGCACGTTGTAGTAAGCAAGTTAAAGTAATATTATTTAAAACATCCTGGCAAGTCTTCCACACGTGTAGCCTCTGGGCCAGCCTCCTTCGAGTCTTCGGGATGCTGATGGAGGTACCGTGGGTCTGCAGCGCCTCGGGCATGTTTGCCCTATTTAGAACTGATGACTTTTATGCAATAATGCGCAAAAAGATGCCTCGATGCTCTGCAGGCTGCAGGCCAGCAGGCAGGCAAGGTATGACTCTCCATAGATGCGCCATTTTGCCCAAGTGCTGATCAACAGGAAGTAACTTTTCTTGTTGTTCAGGCACTAATTTATTTAGACGTAGGTAGGTACAGTAACTAAGATACAATTCCGGACACATGGTTAGAGCCACTACGCATTTTCAGAATTAAGTGCCCTAAGCTTTAACAATGTTTGATTGATCAAAAACACTGCAATTTTGAAACTAGTATACTAAACGTCTTTTTATAATACAGTTACTCTAAGCGTGGTATTTTTCGTACTACAAATCGTGTCTTAAGTTGGATTTTTCGCACTAGTGCTTTTTAATTTTCCATTTTTTTTTAATTTACTGTTGTTTCAAGTCTTAAAGTTAAACATAGAACTAAAAAGGTTGTATATTTATTTATACTTATGTGCTTTGTGACGTAAGTCATTCGTCATTAAAACTTATATTTACTAACAAACATCGTATTTGTTTAAATTGCACAGGTGTTTTATAAAACAACGGGTTACATTTAAAAATACCAAATTATTTTCCATAAAGATGGCTGATTGAGTATTAACAATGACCGGAGGTGAGTGTTACGCGAGACCGCTGCGCGCTGTGCCACTAAAATATACTGTTTTATTTTACTTTCAATGTAGTTTTTTCGCAAATGTATTAAAAAACGTCGTTTGATACACGTGCGGATTTGTCATTTTCACTTGTCTCGAGAGAGAGAAGCCTCGAGTGTCGTGAATAATGACTAACTTTCCCCACGATGATTTAATTCCAAATTCCAAACAAGAGCTTACCTTGTTTGGAATTTGGATTAGTAAAACCGGGAGAAAACTTTTTCTTCGATGACAACACTATTTTTGTGTTCTAGCCCTTTACGACAAAAATGCGAGATGGCTAGAAATACGTGTCCGGGAGTATATAAGAATTCTCTTGTTACTAACCAACTTTGACCATTGTAATCTGTTTTATGAATAAATTAATTTAAATTAGTTATTTGACAGTGATTATTTCAGACGGATGTCAGTCCAAAAACGAGAGCAGACCTCCAAAATTTACTTCTTCCAGGGAATTATTGTCGCCGTACTTATTATTGTCGTCGAGCAGTGATGTGAGCTGCTGGTGAAATTACAGATATGTCAAATATCTCAAAGATTCAGGCTCAGCGACAATGCGCCTTAAATCTTAGCGATTTAAAGCTCTGAATGGCATTGCAACTGCTTTGGACAGGCGTGTAGCTTTACCACCAGGTACACGAATTGCTCGTCCCGTCACTTGATATTATAAAAAAAATATTGGAATTATTACTATACATATCATAATTTTTATCTCGTTTAATCAGCAATTTAGTAAATATCCAAATTAAATGTACTTTTTGTGTCAAATAGACTACATCATCATCGTGCCATCGACTCGCGATTGAAGAGCAGGATAACAAGTAAATTACAATAGCAATTCTGCCGTCCATTAACCAAAACCCGGTTAAGTGCCAAACGGTCAAATATCCGTATTAAATAGAAAAAAATATGCATGATTTGTTCGTTCCGTCACTGTGACATCGTATAAGAAGAAATTCAGAAAAGTTTGTTTCCTAAATTGTCGAAATTGCCAAGTTTACAGGGGAGCGTTTTGAAATTCTGAATTCACTGAAATAAATTAACTGAAATTAGTCTTAACAAGACTGGAACACATTGGACCGCCGAGGTCATGAAAGTGTTGTGAAATCTCGTGGTGATTTTTGACGACCTCCGTTGACGAGTGGCTTGCACACCAGTTCCCATGGTGTCGCCATCTCTGAGGTCCCTTGTTCGATTCAAAAGGGTCACTGTAGAAATTAACTTTTCTATATTGTATCGGGTCTGGGTGTTCGTCGTACCGTCGTTGTTTCCGATTTCCATAACTCAAAAGCTTTAGGCCCACCGCTTAAAAGTCGATACTAACCTCAGTTCAAATTAAATTTTTTGCCGTTCTAATACGGTTCATTTTGCTTGGGTCGAGTGACAGGGACACTGGCTTTAGAATTTATTTTTTTACAAACGAAATTAAAACCATTTCGAAAATGTATACCATATACTATACGTATTGTATTTAGTTCAGTTGATATAAAGGAAATCATTGGTAATGTAATATGTAAAGTACGTATTGAATACAGGGGTTTTCTTGTAAAATTTCGAAGTAAGTTTGTGTTTCTATTTCTATCGTGGAAAGAAATCGTGTTTTCACCCTGTATACTAATCAGTATATATCCTAAATTTTACTATATATTTTTTCCAAAGAGATTGATTCAACACTTTCAGTGTCACGCGGAATTAACTAAAACCATTTGAAGTAGTATAGACTCTTAACCGATAGGCCTGTAATATTTGTTATCCTTTATTATTGTGCAGATTTCATTACTGTGTTTTTTTTTACCATTGGCCGTATATGCTGTCACAAGTTTCGAACCAACCAATCTCCTACTCGGCTACCACCGTTTTCGAAAATACTTTATAATAATGGAATAAACATCTACGTTATAATTATTATTATTCGAATTATTGACCGTAACTTGTTTTAAAATAGTAATTTCTTATAAGAATCTCTTACATTCAATTAATTATTGGTGTATATTTCGCAGAGTTTGTAGAATCAATTCTTACTTCACATTTTTGCCGACCATACACTTTCTATGTACCTCTTTAAAACATCCGTTGTACGGTTGACATACCATTAAAAACATTGTGAGCTTCGCTAAGTCCACCGAACGTGATAGTATTCAGTGCCTAGACAGTGTGACCATTTTCAAAACTATCTCTCAGTTTACATTCTAGTTACACTGGTTCGCAGTTATGAAAAGAAACCACACTATATCCTCCCTGTCATAGAAGGCGGCTAAGATGTAAATTCAGGAGACAGGGCCTATACCTCTAGTACTTTGCAACATTATACCTGCATACCAAGCGTGGCAAATGCTCGTTTTTGGTACCCTATGTTTACCAGAGAGTTATTGGCTGGGTTCCTTAGTATGAAGCCTCGTGTCCAGCTAAGATGTAAAGGTCGTTGCCGTCTTCACCGGAGAGGGTGTTGCTCTGGAGTATATGCGATTCTAGAACCACCACTCTGTAATAATATTTGATTAATTAATAAATAAATTCTGTAAGTTGTCATGAACACGAAATTGTGCAAATTGTCATCCAGAAATTTTCTCGGCATAGTATTGGACTCCCAACTGACATGAAAACCACAGGTTGATTCAGTATGTGCAAAGGTGAATCGATTTGTATGATCTTTACACCGTCTAAAGCGCATATATGATCAGAGGACTGCCTCGATGGCCTACCGTGCATTTGTCTGCTGATATTATTGCTCTGATATTATTAATTTTACGATTTTATTGCTGTTGTTATTTATTGGCATTTTTATTTAATTTTATTTGACATTGCTTATTTGACAAATGAAATAATTTTAATTTTATGACATTATTATCTTCAATTGGCTGGCTTGGTATGTTGCGAATAAATATTTCATTTCGTTTAATATAACATTTTTTTAAGTTTATTCAATGACGCGATGTATTTATTGAGACTTTTGTGAAATATGGTGAGAAGGTTATTCAAATATCTCTCACTAGATGTCACTAGCGGCGACGAATGCCGACAATCAGTACAAAGACCTATAATAAAAACACATAAGAGAATTTCGACGACTCGGTAACTGGACCCGTGGCTCAGATGGTGAGAGCAATGCTACAATGCAGCATGGCCGTGGGTTCAAGGCCCACCGGGTCGACGAAAGTTTTCTGTGAGTTTCGATCTTTATATTCATAATTAGAATGTCACAATGTTTGACTACCGTGACATTAAATTACTTTTGTGAAACTCATCGAGATATAACCAGAATAGAGACGAAATATTGGCCATACATTCCTGTTCACTCATCAGTGATACATCACTTATAAATATCAACTCTCGTTTGCACTGAAATATAGAAGAGCTGTTCAACCTCATCCCCCCTTCCCCGTTCCTGCTCAGAAGCACGCGTGCTGGCCTTCGTAGTCACCGTTTCACTACCTGCCGAATTCCATCGCGTACTAAAAGGTTTGGTGGCTCCTTTCTCTGCCGCACGGTTGACAAATGGAACTCCCTTCCGGCACATGTCTTCCCTCCCTCTTATGATATGGGGTCCTTCAAACGAGGCGTGAAGAGGCATATTGTAGGCAGGCAGGGTGGAGGTGGCTAGTGCAGTGAGGGTTCATCGCTGCACTAGGTTCCTTCGCGTTTGGATACCACTTTCCACTTAACATCAGGTGGAGTGGAGTCATTTGCCTGTCATGTATAAAAAAAAAAAAAAAAAAGACAGCTCCAACAGCTGACCTGTGTGCACGTCTTCGTATATTCCAAAAATATTCCGTGTTTATTGTAATAAAGATAATATCTCTAACAATGGCGTGCTGTTCGAGTCGGTGGTGTGGGGAAAACAGCAAACATCTAATTTTTTTTTAATAATTATAAAACAAACGGAATCAAATTTCATCGGTAATTAAATATGTAATTTTGCAATTTTCGTCCATTATAGCAAAGCTAATGTTAAGTGGTCGATTTGAAGTGAAACAATTGACGACACCCGTCAATTGTTTCGAATTCGGGTTGGCCAATCGAGGCGCAGTTGTCACCGTAATGATAGGGCAGAATAGTTTTCAAACAAATTAAATGACATTTCGTCTCTATATCTGGTTATATACTCGATGGTGAAATTACTCCAATAATTTGTTATAATTATTAATACAAACATCGAACACTTAGAACACCAAACCAAACGGCAAACCAAAACAAAGCAAGCGGACCTAACGAATTTTTCTATGTGCTTATTGCAGATCGTTATTTTTAGTTTTTAACGACTTTTTTGCCGTATCGCCATCTGTGATAAATAGATTTCTCACAAATGGCGCTGCGGCAAAATGTCGTTAAAAACCAAAAACAAAGGTCTAAGATCTAAGGTTGTTCGTTAGTTGGCTTAGTTAGGTGGCTTAGTTGGCATAGCGTTTGCCACGGTTTGCTTGAAGACGTTGGTTCTAATCCAGCCGGATCGAAGGAATTTTTTCTAAATGTTCGATCTTTGTATTAATAAAATTCTAATTTATTAATACTGAATAATTTATTATAGTATTCTTTTTTGACAGTTACTTATGAATTTTTAAATGGGAAAGGCATTACTCCTCGACAATGGCCCGGTCGACCGGGATTAAGGACGCAGCTTGCGGCCCTTAGAGATTGAACATTTTCTTCAAATTTGAATGGTATTTATTATTATTGAGGTATCCTCTTTCCAACAAAAAAAATAAACGAAATTTGTTCACAAATGTCGGAACAATTGCGTAAGATCGACCCCTCCTACGTAAAGTGTCGTATGTCGAAATTGCCATGTTTACAGGGGAGCGTATTAACGTTCTGAATTCACTGAAATAAGCATAACACGTGACTTTAGCCTTTCTCAGTTTTATTCGGCAAAGCTCGTACTCAAATAGAGTATTATACAATCCTAGATATCGGTTTGATGATCTATGATGATCTACTTTAAAACGCTCCCCTGTAAACTTGGCAATTTCGACATACGATACTTTACGTAGGAGGGGTCGACATATAAACAAAAAAACAGTCGAATTGAGAAGGTATTCTATTTTTGAAGTCAGTTAAATATAGTCGGAAAGTCTATACTGACTGTTATTTAATTTAAATAACAGTCAGTATAGACTTTTCAACAGTACGCCAAGTTAAATACCTTTAATTACTATTATTATTACCTTTAAAGTTCAATACCTTTTATTGCTAGTTACATTTTGTTCATTTATTTTTGTTTTCTTATCGACATTATATTGAGAATATCTTCAATGTGCTGCTATCTAGCAGTAAATAGATGAAAGACGACGAACGATCGACGTCTTCAATTAACATGAAAGGTTCGAAATGTTTATTTCTTTCTCACACATTATTTATTACTTACTGCACACAATATTAATTACATCTTCATATAACACATGTATATATCTATTAATTAAGTAACGAAATTAGTTTACACTTACGCTGTTTTATGTATATATGTATTCGTATTATATTTTAGTATATACCAAGTTTCACGCACATGTTATGCATGTATTTGTTTTGTTTGCGCTCGAGTTCGTGCTTCACTCACATCGGGTTTGCTGAAAACCAGCGGTGCAGGCTGAAAATCTATCAGCCTGTAGCTAATGGCTGAGCAAATCCCGTTTGTGTGTGCCGCGACACGCATTTATTATTACATTTTTTATTTTGTTTTAATCATTATAATTATAATTATTAATACAAAGATCGAACACTCAGAAAAAACACTCAGAAAAAATTCCTTCGATCCGGTCGGATTCGAACCGACGTCTTCTTGCATACCGTGCCAGACTCTATACCAACTAAGCCACGGAACGAACCAACGGACCTCACGAATTTTTCTGTGCTTGCGTCGTGTCTTTGTACTTGGTCTTTCAACGACTTTTTAGTCGTAGCGCCATCTATGAGAAATCTATTACAGATTTATCATTATAATTATGTTTTAACTTTTGTTGTAAGTACCTTATTTTAGTTTAAAGTTTATAATATTGTATTTTAATTTTAAGATCATGTCTGTCTCAGTGCTTACGTAATAAAGTATTCTTATTCTTATTATTCTTATACTAACTTGTCGTGTCCTAGCAGTCGATACGTGCGCGTTGGGTCGCTGATCTCCTGCGTGACGTCATTGCTGCGTAGCGACCTGCCCTGCACTCCGTGGCGGTGGAACGCCAACACTGAGTCTGCCAGGCACACTGAAAAAAATAATCATGATTTTCTTGTTATACTTCGTTTCAATCCATTTTAAACCTTGGATTAAATTTACAAGCGTGGCAAGACGCTTATGTGGTGACTCGGAATTAGTAGAGACGAAGCTGCAGAGCCTTGAACCCCGCCGAAAAGTTGCCTGCTTATCGGTATTTTACAAGATATATCACGGAGAGTGTGCGATGGAATTACACGATTAAATTCCGCCTTCCCATTTCCATTATCGGGGGAGTAGGCGCAGGCTTGGCTTCCACCACTATTTTTAAGTTATTCAATACATAAAATTTAGTGAATTACAACTAAAAGTTGGTACATTTTAGGCAAGCCGGTGGGAAACGAGTTATATGGACGCCTCGCCACTGCTTACACATTGAGGCGACGTCATGACAACACCGTATCAATAATACTAATAAACCACAAAACACCGTGGGTAGCCACGTTGAGGCAACAAACGCTGGTTGACGTCTAGTCGGATTCCATCTTTGTATCACATTTTTATCTAACATCTATCCGTAATTAAAGGCTTTTCACTCACATATACTATCGATATTGAAGTCGAATTGTATTCTAGTGAGCAGCTTCCCTCTCCGTTTCTCCTCTCCTTCCCCGCGCCAACGAGTGCCGTCGAGGGAAGGAGGCAGCACTGGGATTATGTCGATTATGTTCTCGTGGCAGACGAGGACCTGCAAATTTAAAAGCAAACGGTCTTCAATCTCAGCAAAAAATGACTAGTAATTAGAAGAACTTTTTTGTGATGTCAAATGACCAGCCTCCTCGAATTAGTCTAGTGACCTAGAGTAATTCGAGGAGGCTGGCTTCGTCCGCCACTCACCGCGTCCTTGTTGAGCTGGTGCACGGCGCGCAGCGTGTGCAGGCGCTCGCGCTGCGGCAGCACGGTGTTGGAGCTGCCCGCGCCCACCAGCGCGCGCGCCTCCAGCTCGTCGCTCGTGAACCACGTGGCGCCTGCGCAGGGTCGCGAACGCATTATGCAGTGCGGTCGAGCTTCTTTTCTATCACCCGAGGGAATCTGCTTACAGATACCCCTGCGGGGGCAGAGCCGGGGTTATGTGGAACTGGGCTGATCCCTGAAGGGGAACAACCCGACCGCACCAAACCCCCGGGGTGTTCCTCCTCTCCGCTGCAGGTAGAGGCATGGGTACGCTGTCGCTCGTCCGCGCCTCAACCAGCGGCTAACCGCGCCCTGCGCAGCCCCTCCCCGAGAAAGGAGACACAACGGTCCCCCGACTCCAAATGTAAAGCTCGCCGAACACCAGACGAGCCTTCCATCTCAAACTCAATCAAACTGCCTCCGTGGCCGAACGGTTACCATGCCGGACTGCCACGCAGAGGTCCCAGGTTCGATTCCCGGGCCGGGAGAAATATTTGTATGGCCTACAATTATTTCTCTCGTGAGTTTGGGTGTTATTTGTGGTTGTCTATATGTGTGTCCATGGCACCCGCGACACAGGGTTTCCCTAGTGCGGGGCTATGTTGAGTGTGTGCGTTATTTATTATTATTTATTATATATATATTATTATATTATATTATATATTATCTCGGGCCCCTCCATGCAGGGCAGCAAACTCCTCCGAGTCCGCTACCCAGGGGCTATGAGGCCAGGACAACAGCCCCTCAATTGTAAAGTTCAGAGGATGCTCTCCCAGCCCCCGCGGCGGATCTATTGGTAGGTTCCGCCGCAACACTCTACGCGCATCCACGTGGGCTCTCCGTAGAGAGTCCGTTGGAGCGCCCAGTGCGGTCAACCCTGCTTTCACCTAATCGTTAATATAAGAAATAAAAAACCTTTCAACTGTTATCCAAAGTACGTTACCTAATGACATCGAGTATATAACCAGAAACAGAGACGAAATGTCAATTAATTTGTTTGAAAACTTTTCTGCCAAATCGTTACGGTGACAACTGCACTCTAATTGGCCAGCCCGAATTGTAAACAATTGACGAGTGTCGCCAATTGTTTCACGTCCAGTTTAACTTGAGCTTTGCTATATTGGACGAAAATTGCAAAATTACATATTTAATATTTAATTAATGATGAAATATAATTCCGTTTGTTTTGTAATTAGATGTTTTGCTGTTTTTCCCACACCTCCGAATGGACCAGCACGCAATTGTTAGAGATATTATCTTTACTGCAATAATGCACATTTTTGGAATATACGGAGACACACAGGTCAGTTGTTGGCGCTGTACTATTTCAGCTTTCTAATTTGTGGTGTCAACGCAAACGAGAATTTCGTCTCTATTTCTGGTTACATACTCAATGCCTAATGAGTAACACGACACTAATTACTTTTAAAAAATAAAACTAGAATTATGTTGACCCGGTAGGTTCACGAGGTGTAGTGACGATGTAAAGATTGTCCTATTCAAAGCATATTGCCAGTCTTTTTATACTTGCAGCCTTTGGGTCAACTACACCTTAAAATCTCATAGCTCCCTACGAATTTTGTACAATAATATATTCAGGACGCTTCTGCAGCTGCCACGTTTTTGCAGTGCATCGAGGATGTTCGCCATAGTTAAGATGGCTTATTATTATGCGAAAAAGAGCGGCTTCTCTGGTGCACACCCAATTGCAGTTCCCTTAACGAGGACTAACTATAAACAAAATAGTTTAGAGCTAGCAAGAGCTTGGAAAGTGTGCTGAATCACCATGACCTGGATGTTGATATATTCAATTGTAATGTTGATGCGCTAAAGCGTAAACTCACAAACATTATATTTAATTTTATTGAGTAATTTATGATTAGCGCAGGTATTGGATTGTTATATTTATGTAAGTGCATGTTGTTAAGAAATACTGTTTATTGTTCGTTTGTTAAGGCTCGTGTATGATTTGTCTCAAGCTATAAGGTGGAAACCTGTAATTGCGTTTATGTTTATTCTACTGTTTTTATTAAATGTAAGAAGCTGTTGGTTTGCCATGAATAAATAAATAAAGTTTGTGGCAGCGGCAACAGCTTTTTGAGTAAATTGCAAATAGGGTCCAGGGTTCTTTTTATAAGCGCTGGTCCCGATTGCATATTAGTTTTAGAAAAAAATGTTATTTGTAGTACTAACATGAGTTAGTACCATGAGGAAGTATTATTTATTAATTGAATCAAGAAACATACAGGTACGGTACAATAAAAGCTTAAATACTAGAAAGAAAATAAAAGTAGGCTTTTTAAATCATATGTACAAAATTGGTTCCGATGGGAACGTTCCCCCTTTGTTCTACTTTGCCCAATGCATTAGCATAGCAACTCATGGATGAATACCATTCCAAAATAAAGATATTTGAATTTGAATTATCCAAAATTTTAACGTCAATCGCTTCCGTGCATTTAACATGTCATTTGTAGAGTGGGTTTATACAAGATTATAATAATAATAACGCACACACTCAACATAGCCCCGCATTAGTTAAACACACCCATAGACAACTACAAATTACACCGAAATTCACGAGAGAAATGTAGGCCATACAAATATTTCTCCCGGCCCGGGAATTGAACCTGGGACCTCTGCGTGGCAGTCAGCATGGTAAACGTTTGGCCACGGAGGCAGTTAAATTAATACCTGAGTTCATATTAATAAGGTTGAGCCTTAGCGGCTTCCTCGTGGCACCGACGCACAACAGCGGGTACTCCAGCTCTGGGGTGATGATCAGCTCAAACGCCAGCAGGGGCGACGGAAGGGTGCACTCGATGTTCTGCAAATACAGATAGAAAGAGATAGAGATATATTTACTTGTAAGCATACATCGTAAATACAGTTCGCATTTATTACACATAGTCATATTACTTATATAATTAAAATCATATCGTATTACATTATAAAATTAAATCTTGTTCATTAAATAACATAATTAAAGAAAAATTATGATGTAATTAATAAAAAAGAGGAACGCATGTCAAAGCAATAAATGTATAGAGGGTCGCAGGCTTCAAAATTTCAATGTCAAGAACTCATTTACATTATAAAAACAATTTGTTACGCAATTCAAATAGTATTTTTTTAAATCTAGACGTAGGTTACATTTTTATATCGTCAGGTAAAACATTATATAATTTTACGCACATGTTATAGCCATTCCTTTGAAAACATGTAGTAGTGTGTATATGTCGGGCCAAACGATAGGCATATCGGGTTAAAAAAAGGAACATTTTTGAAGTAAATAAATAACATGTTTTTTGATAAAAACACATATCTCGAATATAATATAAGGAAGGAAGGGACGATATTTTAAGTTTTTTGAATAAGAGTTTATAGCTTTGGGTTTAGGTTAAGGGTTTACAATGAACGAGATATACGACTATACCTTATTATAAAAGTACCTTAAATTAAAAGATCAATTTCATCACAATTGCACATAAATACTATGCCTGTAATGCCCCAAATAAAACACTAGGGCCTTTTTTCTTCTCATTACCGACCATGGCTATAATGAGATAAAAAATACTTTTTTAAATCAACTTGCTATTGAATATCGTCAGGAAAATCTTGCAACTTGAAACTACCTCAGCCACTCCTCCCGCACCGCGCACCTACCTCAGGAACTGACTCAGCTAAGTGGTAGGCCTGTACCAATCACTCGACTGTGAACTGGCAACCGGTACTATCTCAATTTTGACAACTTTACAGGATGAAGAAAGAAATCATTTATATAGCACCTGGCTTATTAAATAAAAATATGTAGTGTACATACATACACGTCTAATAAAAATATTTAAAAACTACGTGTTTTTATTTAATAAACCAGATGACACAAATAATTTTTTCTTCATCCTGTTAAGTTGTCAAAATTGAGATAGAACCGATTGCCAGTTCACAGTCGCATTGTATTTTTTGCTCGGTTATACTATGCCCTGTGTTTACTTTTTGGACATCCAATTATAATCAATACTATAACTGATTTCACTTTCGGGACAGATAACCACACCTGTTGTCAAACTAGGGTATTCTCTGTAATGTTAGTATCAGAACAACCGGACCAGAACCAATTGAATGAACACGATGCAAATCTTTAGACCACTGACGTCGTGGACAACCACACCATTTATCTATACTTAAACTTCCTTATAAAGTGTTTCGTACTGAAGTTTTTAAGGATACCAATATATCTATCAACCCCAAACGTCGGATATTCGAGCAATTTATTCTCTCAGTCAATGGGTTATGTTGGGTATCTCTCTGCAGAATCGATTCACGTAGACAAAGATACGGAGAAGAACGAATCTTATGCGGGTTCTTAAGAAAAGTCCTACATTTAGTAAGCACATTATAAAATTTAAAATAAAAAAGGTGGTATTCAATGAAATTCCTATTTGAAAAAAAAAGTTTGAAAAATTATTTTGCTGTTGTAAGGATGAACTTGCATTTCTTATATATTATTGTAATTGTTAATGTTGTTTTGTTTAATAAGTAAGTCTGACTTACAGGAGAAGTACCTTCTCACTGCCAGGTACCTAGTTCTTAGATAATTATAGTACATCTATAATTGTCTAAGAGCGTGCTCGCCAACAAAGTGTTTCCAGTTTGGCGGGAGATAGACTTCTGTACAATGTATACTTTTTGAAAAATAATTTAATAAAAAAAAATACCAGCCACACCATGCTACACAACCACAGATGGGGTAAAAGGGTGGTTGAATGGAGACCTAGCGAAAGGTACAGAAGCGTCAGTAGGCAGCCGCTGCGATGAGTTGAAAGTGGAGGGGGAAAAAATTGGATGAACAAGGCATAAGACCGGAAGAAACGGCGTGCATTGGAAAATCTCTCTACACTCAGCTTTGGGTGAATTGGGGTTGAAAAGAACTAAAATATTTTTTTCTCCTATAAGGACCAGAGCAAGGAAATTCATTTCGAATTACGGCTTATATCTTAGAACGTCATCATCAGCCTATTGCAGTCCACTGCTGGACATAGGCCTCCCCTAATGCACGCCATTTCGCCCTGTTCTCGGCTTGACGCATCCATTTCCTGCCAGCAATCTTCCGCAGATCGTCACTCCATCTGGCTGGAGGGCGTCCCACACTACGTTTGCCAAGTCGTGGTCTCCACTCAAGAACTCGTTTACCCCAGCGGTTGTCGGTTCTTCGGCAGATATGTCCAGCCCACTGCCACTTCAGCTTGCTTATCCGAAGAGCTATGTCGATCACTTTGGTTCTCTGTCTGATAACCTCATTACGGAGTTTATCTTTCAGAGAAACTCCGAGCATAGCTCGTTCCATAGCTCGCTGAGCGACTTTAAACTGGTGGACTAGCCGTATCGTGAGTGTCCACGACTCAGCTCCGTACGTTAGAACTGGTAGGACGCACTGGTTGAAAACCTTTGTTTTCAAGCTCTGCGGGATGGGCGACGAAAAGACTCGACGTAGCTTCCCAAACGCTGCCCAGCCAAGCTGAATCCTCCTCCTGGCCTCCTTCTCGAAGTTATTTCTACCTAACTGCAGAATCTGCCCGAGGTAAGTGTATTCGGAAACAACTTCAAGAAGGTGGCCATCGACGCAGATGGGTCTCGGATCAATGTGGTCATTGATCATGACTTTGGTTTTATCAAAGTTCATGCCGAGACCAATCCGCCGCGAGGCGGATGCTAGGCTGTTCAGCATCTGATCCAGTTCCTCCAGCGATTCTGCCATTAGGACTATGTCATCTGCAAATCGCAAGTGTGAGATGTACTCGCCGTTTATGTTAATGCCCATCCTTTTCCAGTCCAGCGTCTTAAACATATCCTCCAATGCAGCGGTGAACAGTTTCGGGGATATGACATCCCCCTGTCTCACCCCTCTGCGTAATTGGATAGGTTCAGACTGCTGGTCCTGTACTTGGACACTCATGGTAGCAGCATCGTAAAGACATCTCAACACTTGTATATAACGATAGTCCACTTGGCACCGCTGTAAGGATTCCAGGACAGCCCAGGTTTCGACAGAGTCAAAGGCCTTCTCATAGTCCACGAAAGCTAAACACAAGGGCCGATTATACTCTTCGGACTTCTGTATAATCTGCCTCACTGTGTGTATGTGGTCTATGGTGCCATATCCTCCCCGAAACCCGGCCTGTTCCGGTGGCTGAAACTCGTCGAGTCTTCTTGCGAGGCGATTCGTGATGACTCTAGAAAACAGCTTGTAGACGTGACTCAGGAGTGAGATGGGTCGGTAGTTTTTCAGTAGAGTTTTATCTCCCTTTTTAAAGAAGAGAACTACAATACTCCTGTTCCACGCCCGTGGAGTTCTCCCGCAGTGAATGACCAAGTTAAAGAGCTTCTGAAGTTCCTGGATAATAGGAACTCCTCCAGACTTCAAAAGCTCCGAAGTAACTCCGTCTTCACCGGGGGCTTTTCCATTTTTAAGCTGTTTTAGAGCCAACACGATCTCGTCTTGACTGATTTCTGGCAGGTCGTCGGTATAGTGGCGCGTCAAGGTGGCTCTCAAATCGTGATTGTCACGCTGGACCCGAGGAGCATTTACAGCGTACAAACGGCCATAGAAGTCCTCTATCTCGGCGAGTATCTGCGGCTTTGACGTAACGGTTAGGCCATCGTGCGTTGTAAGCTTCGTCAGGTGGCTCCTTCCAAGCTGCTGAGTGAATACTTTGGACCCTCGGTTTCGCTCTATCGCCTCCTCAATGAGGCGTGTATTGGAACTCCGAAGGTCACGCCGTACCATCTTCGCAATCTGCTTGTTTAGGTATGACCTCTCTGACGAAGTGGCCTGGATGTCATCGCGTCTTTTCGTCATAAGTCGCAGAGTCTCATCCGAGAGTTTAGACTTCTTTCCCGTACGCTGCAATTGACAGAATTTGATGCCCTCGCTTCTCAGCGTCCCAACCACGCTTTGTAGGGCCTCGTCAACGTCCTCGGTGGGTTTCAGCTCGACGAATCTCGCTTCGAGAAGTTCATGGAACTTCTCGGAGCCCGCCATGATCTGGAGTGGATTAGGACGGAGCGTGGACTTCATCAAGCGGCTTCTTTCAAGTTTGACATCGATATTCAGAGAGCCTCGTACAAGTCGGTGATCAGATCCGGTGCTAAACCTGTTGATCACTGAGACATCTCTGAATATGTGTCTCTTGTCCGTCAGGATGAAATCGATCTCATTTTTAGTCACAGCGTCGGGGCTTCGCCAAGTCCACTTCCTTTGAGGCTTCTTCTTGAAGAACGAATTCATCAAGAAGAGTCCCTCGTGCTCGAGGAAGTTGACTAGCGTTTGCCCCCTGTGATTCCTTACTCCATAACCATGCGGGCCGACTCGAGACTCGTCAAGATTTGGGAATCCCACTTTAGCGTTAAAGTCCCCCATAACAACGTTGAAGTGAGCCTTGGTGGTGTTGTGTAAGGCTTTCGATATGTCCTCGTACATATCTTCTACATCGTCATCCGAATGTCGACACATTCAGGTCGGTGCGTAGGCCTGAATGATCTTCAGGCTATACCTTTTTGATAGCCGAAGGATCAGGTACGCTACCCTGTTCGACACACTGGAGATCTCTTCAACGTTGTTAGAGAGGACTCTGTTGACGAGGAATCCTATACCACCTTGGAATGTTTGATCACCCTCGCGGAAGTACAGTAGATGGCCCGAGTCTAGGGTTATGGTGTCCTCTCCCTCTCTTCGGACTTCACACAGCCCCAGAACATGCCATCTAATGTTCTCCAGTTCCACTTCCAACTGTGCAAGGTGTTCGTCAAGCCTAAGAGTTCGTCCGTTAAACGTAGCCAGGGTCAGTTGTTTTTGGTAGCCTGCGGTAGCCCGGGGATTCTTAGCACCCCCTACCCCGCCGGACCATGGCCGCTACCGTGACCAGGAATAGCGGGGCGACCGGGAACTGGGAGCCTTCGATTGGTTGTGCCGTCCATGAAGGGGGTTATTGCCCATAATCTCCACGCTGGGCATGCGGGTTGGAGATCGCAGGGCGCTGCCTTTGTACTACCGACGCTGCTGCCCATCGGTAGCCAGCAGATTTGACAGCGCCAATGTGGGGAAGGGCTATACCGCCTACTACCGGTCGCCAGAGCCTCGTCGGTTACTGCAGGATGTACCGCGTGCAGGTGAGGTTGACAATAAGAGCTGTGATGGTGTGTGCCCCCTTACATCCCCTCATCTTAGAACGTCACGTCGCCCATACTGTTCCTACCGGGAGTAGAACCCCCTAACCTGTTCATTCAGCGCCCACATTGCTAACTGCTGGGTTACAAAAGCACATACTACATATCAGTTTCAATAATAGCAATAGTACTAAATACAACATTATTAAAGTAGCTTTTATAATGTTACCTTCAACAGCATGAACTTGTGTAACGGGTCATACCACTGCATGAGAAACAGCCCCGCTGGGGTAGCGCCGCACAGGTACTTATACCCGTTGTACGGGTTACGGGCCACGGCGCAGCGGATGCAACCTGTGTACAAATCAATTACATAAACACTATTTTTTCCTTCTCCAATTGTGTTGGGCATACATAGTGCCGGGTTTTGAAAAAAATTCCATTTTGAAAAAATCTAATTTTTCAGAAAAATCTACATTTTTTCCGAATACTGTTAATATATTTTATGAAAAGTTGAAGAAACTGAACGAAAACGACTGAGCCATTATAAAGATTTTTTTACCTATGTTTCTCTTTTTTGCTGTTGTCCAATCATTTTAAATCTCGCTTGCTTTTAGCTATACAATTTTATTACATAATTCATATTAAATAAAATTTCAAAAGATATTTCTCAACGAAAAACACAACATGAGCTTTCGACTTATATTTTTCCAACTTTTTTTCAATTTTTTTAGAAAATTTTTCGGAAACGTTTCCACTATTCGCAATTTTTTGGAAAATTACCAAACAGTAGGCATGCACTATTGAACCTTTAGCTATAATCCTGACACGCTAAATTTGAATCCTACAAACCACTAGATGGCGTTACTAGGACTTTACAACGATTCATCAAATTTACGTCTTTGTAATTTTGTACGAAAGTAAAATCTGATTAATTATAAAAAGTCATGGAACAAAAGTTGTTGTTCATGATGTTAGTATTATAGTCTTGGAGGTTGATTGATTCCTGATTGATTTCTGATTGGGGACGACTATACTTAGTCCAATTTAACCCCACCAAGACACAAGTTCGCGCGTTCGCCACTAAAAAGACTCCATTTGCTGCAGACCTTCAGAACAAGCCATTAAATATCTCGGAGTGCATCGGGATCCTTGGTGTCGACATCTCTTGTGACGTTCAATTCCAGTAGTCACTTAGATGGCAAAGTAAACCTGGCGTCCAAAAAGCTTGGTGTGCTCAACAGGGCTAAGCGGTATCCCACTTCGGAACAGAGACTGCTACTTTATAAGTCACAAGTCCGTCCCCACAAGGAATACAGCTGCTGCCATCTTTGAGCGGGAGCTCCTGGACGCCAGCATTGGGCTCTTTGACCCGGTTCAAAGACGTGTTATGAGAATTGTTGACGATCCTGTGCTTACCGACGATATTGAACCACTGTCTTGGAGGAGAGACTTTGCCTCCCTATGCTTGTTCTGTCGCTTGTACAGTGGCCAATTGTGTGTGTCCAAAGTGGAATGAACTCCCTGTCGGGGTTTTCCCGCAGGAATACAACATGGAGTCTTTTAAAACGGGTTTGAGAAGGGTCGTAAAGGGTTGGCAACGCGTTCGTGACCTGGTGTTGCAGGCGTTCATAGGCGACGACGACCGCTTTTCATCAGGCGGGCCGTATGCTTGTTTGCTGTCTATATAAACTGTTCCCAAAAATATTTTATATGGTTTCATGGGTTTTAACAGAATGTGATTTAAACCATTTTGCCAGATATCTCGTAAAGACTCTGTCAAATCGATTTTCGGTGCTTTTCTTCTAATAATGGAATGCAATTTTGACAACGAATTCTAATAGTAATTTTCAGAAAGCGTGCCTTTAAAAAGGCGTTTTTATTTAGCATTTTTTGATATTGACTTTTTTAAAGTAAATGGACTTTCTATTGACCACTACCTAGCCGTGAAGCAAAGATAGGGTCTACAATGGAACGAGCTCGCCCAGACGATCCCTATTCAGTCGCACCTTAAAGATACTCGGATTGAATGTGCTCAAAAATACAGTCGCAAGCAGAATTCCTGGGCTGTGCTCATAATAATATTGCAGCACTATCCTGCATGAATTCTGACACTAAATATTATTACGCGTTATTATAATACAAACTTGATTTAAGTACAACTGGCTATACCTTGCCATGTTCCATGTGATACTATTATTTATTTGCAACAACTGTATACACCATGGTTGCAGTAAATGACATATCCTACTCTATTCTATTGTAAAACATGGTGAAAAACGCTTGGTAGACTATTTTGGACTAACTAAGGAAACCTTCCAGCGTTCTTACTGAAAAAAAAAACCGCCTCCAATTTGTATGCCTTACCTCTTGTATCCGGTACACGCGTGGTGAGGGCAAATCTTCTAGGCAGCAGCCGTGGCGGTAGGACACGTAGCGATCGGCCACCGCGAGCTCCGCCTAGTAGAGCGAGTAGTTCGTGCCGATATAACGACGGAGTTTTACCTGCATTTATAAGGTGAATTAGTCACAATACACAAGAGTAAAAGGTCGTAATAATATCAAGATATACGTTTAAAATAACAGGGGGATGAAAAAAGATGGAAGTGGGTCCTTAGGCCGTATCCAGATTTGTCGGTGCGGTAGCGGTATGCTCGATATACGCAGTACCAAAAGCCTACCGAGCGCCTATATTTCAATGTGCGCTTTCTGATTGGCGCGGTTTGGACAGGAGCGGGAAGGGATCGGAAATATAAACGCTCGGTAAGCTTTCGGTACTGCGTATACCGAGCGTACCAATACCACACCGACAAGTCTGGAAACGGCCTTAGGCTCAATACACAGTGTTTTTTTACTGGGTAGTATGGGGACATCAGAAACTATAGGAGATACAGGAATACTGTCTTAGGAACCATTACGTCTTTTTTTGTAAAAACAATTTTGGCACATTCAATTTTTTAGTCAAACGTGAGTTTTCCATAAAAATTAACAAAAGCTATATTTTTAGTGCTGAACTGTAACGACAACTTCTTGTACTGGAAGAAAAGATCGGGACAGCAGATGTTGGTCAAATTTAATAAAATATTTTTCCATAACAATATGTTTTTTTT